TATTAATAAGTAAAAATTTTATACAAAAAGTCTCCTTAATATAAGTATAATATTATAAATAGTATAATTTATTCCATATTGAGTAAAATTTATTTATTTACCCCGCTTTTTAAAAATAATAAACTAAAATATAATAAGTAAGATAGTAGGAGAATAACAGTAATATCACCATCCTTGAACTCTATCTTTCGTGTTTTTATCAACCAACCTAATAAAAATGAATCCTGATTTCAGTACAGATGATTCAGTCCCCTCTCAGTCAAATACCTCAACGCCAATAAGTTTGTCAGGGTTAAACTTTGATCCTATACATTCCTCTTGTACCAATTCACCATTTTCTGAAGCGGTAACTGACAACAATTACGCAATTCAAGTAAATGAAAATTTACTTTACCGGTCTCGTAACCGAACAAGTTGGGTTTGGAAACCTGAAAATGGACTGTCATATCGTAGGGTAGATTCAAACGGAATTATTCGAGAAAGTTGGCGATGTGCAAGATGTAAGTTAAAACTTCTATCTAGTTACTAAATAAATGTTTTTAACAATTTAGGTCCTAATCCTGATACTGCAAACACCTACGCTGAAAGTACTACAAAGAATATGATGGATCATCTTATTCAAGCTCATGGATTCAATCGACAGGGGGTTTACAGAGAGCAACCCCTGAATCCTGATAGTGCAGGATTAGAATACTCTACCTCGAAAACAACATCAGTTATACTTCCAAATCTGGGATTCAATCCCAATGTTTTCAAAGATCTTGTTCTCCGTTGGATGGTAATGAATCAAGTTGCCTTTAATCAGGTTGTTTTACCTTCGCTCCGATTTATCTTCAGTTATCTTTGTGCGGTCCGTACCTCTTTTACCGATCTTGCCGATGCAATGCCAACCTACTCTACCATGCTTAATACTTGGTTAATGGACTCCTTTAATCAGAATAAGTTGAAGATTCGGCATCACTTAAAGCAGAAGATAATTTCATCAATTCATCTTAGCTTTGATCTTTGGATTTCATCCAACTACCTTGCGCTTCTAAGTATTGTAGCATTTTAGGTAGATGAGTCAGGTTGTATTCAGCATGCACTCTTAGGACTACCGCAATTACACGGAGCTCATACAGGAGACAACCAAGGTCAGCGAATCTGTGAGATAATCTGCGAATATGAAATTCAGAAATCTTTAGGATATTTCTGTTTAGATAATGTATCGAACAACTTAACCGCCTTACGATACCTTTTCCAACAACATAAAACTGCAGTTCGAAACGGAATTGAGTTAAATATTATGGAACGGTAAGTTCGCTGCTATGGTCATGTTCTGAATTTGGTTGTTAAAGTGTTTCTTTGTGGAAAGAAATCATCACTTTTAGCAAATAGTAGTGAAGAGAGAAGAACAATTGAGAAAGAGAATAAAGATTTGGAAACATGGCAAAAGGTTGGACCTTTAGGTAAATTGAGGAATATCATTGTTTGGATTCACAGTAGCCCGCAACGACGCGATTCTTTCCACCAAGTTGTTCATACAATGTTTGGAAACTCAACAAATGCACAAGAACTGATTTTGGGAAATGTTACACGATGGACCAGCGATCATGATGCCCTTAAACAAGTGATTTATTTTAAAAAAGCAATCGACTTTCAAGTTCAACGCGCACTTCATGACGATCCCAGGCTCTCCCTTAGTAAGAATAAGCTTTCTGCTGAGGACTAGACATTTTTGGAAAGTGTTTTAGAGTTTCTTGCTCCTTTTCGTGAGGAGACACTCTTGTTAGAAGGAAATAGAAAACAAGGAGCACTTTATGATATTTATCCTTCACTTGAAGTGATCAGAAGTCATATTTTACTCTTTCTTTCTCACTACCCCGATTCAACATCTCATATGCACCAATCTTTAGACCTCACCTGGCATAAACTCGATAAATATTATTCTTTCAGCAATCTTTCACCGATCATTTGTGCGTCCATTACTTTAAATCCCAACATGGATAGATTTTTCGAATCTTTTGAGCATGGATGGGATAGGCGAAATGATTGGTCTACTGAGGCCATGCATGTCACGAACGTGGCTTAGCGAGGAAAGGGTTTTTCACATGACACATGGTTATGAGTCACAGGTATGTTATTGTTTCACGCATATGACCTATTTGGGTTATATGATTAGTTATGTGTGG